CAGTAAGGGTGGGAGATTGGCCGAAGGCACGGCCAAAGGGGGAGGGCCTTGAAGGCGGCAAGCAAGGGAACAAGATCAAGAGACTGTGAGATAGAGTTCCAAAGGCTGAGGGCAGAGAGGTTGAAGGCCCAACCGGCAACAGTAGGATGGGCTGGGTGGGGGACGCGGAACAGGCCGGCGCCTGCTGAGCAGAAGGAACAGACCAATTGATATGAAAAAAGATAAGCTAGGGCTTTGAGCTCAATGCAACATGGTCCAGCGAACATTTAAGTCCTTCCTGTAACACTGAAGAGTGTACATGCCAAGACTTTTTATTCAAGATCAAAATCTGACCCCATCACAGATTCATTATATGAGAATTTCAGGGAAGAACTGAGTGTGCCACAAGGCAGAAATGTAGCTTTTATGGTGCTGTGCTGGTGCTGTGTGGAAATATATTTTCTTGCCTTTAAGCAGTCTGGAAGTATTTGGAGGGCCTTGGCCATCTGTGCCTTACCCTTACCAAGGTTATTACCCATATACTACTGTTCACCCGCATTGATTTGGAAAAACTAGGAATGAATCACCTTTCAAGCAGGTTCAGGGAGTAACATTATATCAAATACAATAAATCTGATGGCATCATTAAACAATACTCAAAAGTGCAAAGGAGACAATAAGTTGAACACAAAAGGACATTATGCATAATTACACGCTGTATAAGATCATTCACTGCTGTGAATTAAAAGTGCTTCAAAATGTATTAAATTACTATCCGAACTCAGCTCACTGAACTGAAAAATGCCTGATGGCAGAAAGCCTCTCAAATCTGTCACTGAGGTTTAATGTTCTTTTCCTGAGGAAACCGACACACTTTAAATATTATATCATTTACATTCCTTTTGATTATGACAAACAATACAAAATACATGTTAGTTTTGTTAGGACACATTATGTTAATCAAATCGAGTTGTCCCAGAGAAAGGCTGAAATTGTTTTGAGTCTGCTGATGCAAATGCCTTGCAGTACCTAACAAGGTTATGAGTATTAAATAAGATTGCACTCTGACCTTATAACTGCCCACCTGATTTTATCACCACCTTTAATTGCTTTCAATATATTACCACTATAATTAATTTTGCCTGAAAACATCGCAAAGGACAATGCGAGGGGCATTGGTTCTGTTAAGTGCCACATTTTCACTGTTTACTCAAAGGAACCTATCCTGTGGGAAGTCACATTGAGGGACTCTAGATCCAAACACCATCCAGTAGCATCCACCCATGTAGATTCCTGCAGGGATGAAACAAAACATGGAGGACATTGGCCTGAATTAATTCTCGTACTGCTGACTGTGAGATTTTGTGCCCAGTTTTTATTTTGCCTGTTTAACAAGACAAAATATTGAAATAACAGGGATAGGTAACAGTAATGTTGGTTTCATTGTGTGGGTGTAAATATTTTTGACTTTCTGTGGATAATTCATTAATCTTAATCATGGCTATTTATCGAATACAATTTATACGATACCAGAAAGAATTAGGATCAGGGCTATATGCATGATTTTTATCTCATAAGGTCTTAAGCTCAGACCCGAACTTGCTGGTCCCAATAACCATTGGGGGTCAGGTATAGATGCTCCCTTCAAAGAGGGAAGAAAGGTTTGGGGAACGTCTGCAGCAAATCCTAGCTAGAGTACCTGGCTCACAAGTGAGGTGACTGAGGTTTAACAGCAAGCAGTCAGCCCGCATTCTTGGATGAGCCTGAATACCACACATATCACTGGCAGACCAACAGGGACAGGCAAAAACTAGACGGTACTTAAAATGGAGGGAAATAAAAAATAGTCTTTTCCTCAATAACTCACAAGCTCCTGCGATTTGCTTATGAATTATGTTAATTAGATATATAATTTACATATGTAAATTCCGTTAATAGGTTATCAGGCTTCCACTATTACTCAAAAACTGTAAGTTCTAATTTCATGAAAGTTGGAAAGTACATATTTTACACTATGAGGGATAATGCATCAATTATTTATGAACTTTAATTTACATTTTGTAAATTAAATGTATTATAAAATATACATTCAGCTCAAAGATTGAAAAAAATATATTTTGCACAAGCAAAAGTACCAGAATTCTTTTCTTTCTTTGGAAAAGTTAGTTAAATGACCAAGGCCCATAGTATAGGATATACCAAGGTTCAAAAAAATAGGAGAGTGGGCAAGAAGCAGTGGTTAATCAAGCCTGGGTTTTGAAAATATGTTTTGTAGGAACAAGGGAAAACTAAGGGAAGTAAGGAGTTCCATGGTAAGGTTTTCCAATATTATTTTATTTAAAATTTGTTTCACTTTACATGAAATATATTCAAAAAATATATTTGTAAATTAACACATTAATAATGGGGAAATAAATGCTCCCATGTCTAAATTATATAAATGGACCTTTACAAACAATCTTCCTAGATGCATAAACTAATATTTAGAAAATATACAGATTTTTGTGTGTTGTGTGTATTATATGAATTGAGTCCTCTCCTTTATTTTTGCACCCTTAATGTCCATAGAAATGATGAGGGGAGGGGAATAATATTGCCAACTACCACAGATGTATTGACAGATGTTGATTTATCATCTAATAGCTATCAGCAGAAAGTTTATTATTTTTTAACTGGGCAAGTGAACAATTAAGTGTTACTCAATGTAATTGTGTATCCCACAAATTGACCATATGGTGCTTACTGGCAGCAATGAGAGTTTAAGAAAGTACGAAATGAGAAAAGGCCAGCCATTCGACACATCAAACTTGTAATATTCCACAGAAAATGTACCCTTTGCACATGCCGTCTAATCCTCTGTTATCTTATGGGGAAAGCTCTGCATTGGTACTCAATGATCTTTAAGATTTTCAAGCAAAAACTCTAAACCAATGCCCATTCATTCTAAACCAATGACCATTCATTCTCCATTTCTGCCTGGCCTCCTTCCCTCAATAGAGAAAATTCCCTCTCTACCAGCCCAGCAGAGGGTGCCCAAACTGCACACAATATTTTAAATGTGGCTTCACCAATGATCTACACAAACTTAGAATAATTTATTTTAACTTATAATCAATGAGCGCACAGTTCCAACTTAATATTTAATTAATTTACTTGATTATCTTTTGTTGCCTTCGCAGGAAAGAGAAAGATGTCTTGAGTAGCAACAAGGAATATTTGAGCGTGTGTTCACCTCTTCCAACCATTGTTTATTCATCATTTAATTACAGACCCAAAGTAATTTTAGTCATTTGTTATTATTCTCATAACATTAATATCTTGAAAAATACTGTAATAACCTGTTCCTATTTTGTGTTTTTAATCAAAGTTTTCATCCCTTTTCCATCACTTAGTCATGGATCAAAAGAATTTGATGGCGATAGGTCAGATACCAACTAGTTTAGGCAGGATGCAGAATGAAGTGAATATGAAGAATAAGTGAAAGCATATCAAACAAACAATATCTTTGCAAAAACTTAGCATGAAGGCCTAGGATAAAATTCCTATTCAACTCACAATATTCTTTTTTAGCAATTAAAATACCATATACCAACAAAGCAGTAGCATAAATCTTATGGCAAGAAATCAATTGACTAAAGATAACTATAAGTGCACTGATTTCCGGAGCTTGAATCTTGAAGGTCAGATTTAATGAACAAATGTATTGTTAGTTGTCTTATTTATTATTATCATTGATATAACACCCCACCCAATTATGCTGTGCTCTAAATAATATTCTTGCATTTGATATAGCTGCTTATCACCTCATGATTTACTGTAAGATGTAGTGTCTGTGGATTTGTAGATGGAAGTACCGGTTTCTGGAACATTGCTGTGAGCAAATAGTCTATTTGTGCATAGCAATGTCCTGGAAACAGCCTTGAAATGAATGACTAATTTTAATTGGGGATTGTTAGCCAGGACTCTGGGAAAAACTCCCTTTGCTTTGTGAATAGTGCCAGGGGATCTTTAATGTCCACCTGAACAGACAGATGGGGTCTCAGTTTAACATCTCATCCAATAGACTGTACCTCCGATAATGCTTCTGTTATAAAATCTCTGAACCTTGGTTCATTCCTGAGCTTTTTTATGCTGTCATAGAATTTATATTTCACGCACATCATAATATGCAAATTATTTGTCACAGGGAATGTATGGTAATAAGTAGAGACATTATTTATGAAGTAACATTTTTAGGACAATAATATTAATACTTTTTAAACTGATGAATTACGGCAAACACCACCATGAAATGTATACCCCAGTTACATTACATATTATTCCCGCATTGGCTGTAGACTTCTGTTTCTATACAATTCAAAATAGGAACATATAGCATGGGAGGAGGCTATTTGACTCATCAAGCTAAAATGATGTTAGCTCATCCCACTGGATCTAACTACAGTACTCTAATCACAATCCCCAACTCTTTTCTTGTACTCTTTTATATTTTTTTTATATTGTGATTAGCCACAATTTTGGTTTGACAGGTGTTGCTTGATTTCTCAGTCCTGCTCCTGAATCAAAACAAATAACTGCAGTATAAAGCAAAGGAGTTAAATTCTACTTTGGCCTAAATTGACTCTATCAATAGAGAATTACTTGTAATAATTTAGCAAATTCATAAATGCAGCCTTGATTTTGAAAACAATTTTCAATAAGTTGTTTTAAAACTATAGAATAATTGCTTTAAAGATAAGACTGAATTCACCAATTTGCCAAATTCTGGACACTCTGAAATAATACGTAAATAGAGTAAAGCTAGAATCAATGGAATTTCTATCCACATGTTTGTAAGTTTGCAGTTAATGCAAAACAAACCTTTAACTTTAAACAATCATGTATTCACCTTCATGCATGTTAATATTGACAGAAAACTAGACACCCTCATAGCTCTTTCATTATCTTTCAAAAGTAACCAGCATAGTTTTGTTGATCTCTACACATACACTCAATTCTACATCCATGGAGAACTCCCTTACCTGGACTCAACATTCTGATCCTCAGTGAACAGTGTTGCTACCACAGTTGCATTTTCTCGCTCTATCTTTACTCCACTTACAGGCACCAGATCGAATTGGTGCCTGTGGAAAAAACTAGACAATTTGACTAGTCAGGCAAAGGTCAGTAAAGATATTAAATTAAGTGTGTAATTATCCAATGGAATTTCTATTTACATAATATCAACAAATCGTATAGTATAACGTGCATGAATAATGATGAATGATATTAAACTACCTATTTGGTGCAGAAGTTGATTTATGCTGGAATTGGCATGTACTACATTTGGCACTAAACAAGTGTTACAATCTTTGCCCTGATGTAGAAGTACACTGATTCATCTGGAATATGTGTCCCTTTACCAATTTGTATCAACCCCTCAAAAATGAGTGTCTGACTGTGCATTCATGTTGTGCAGACTCCAGTATAACAGTTGGAATTGACACAATGAGAATGAACTCCAGTCAATCTCTTCAACAGCACGAGACACTAGATGCATGCCAGCACTTGGACTTTTAAGTGTGCCTTACTGACGGAAGCAAGTCCTGCACACTGGAAGCCAAAAATTCTGAACTTGCAAAACCATTTTGTCTTACAGTTTAAAACTGTGCAGAATTGTGAAAAGTCTTAAGTTGGAAGCCGGTTTTTCACTATTTTTAAAACAATCTGTAGAAAAACAGCTTCAAAGTTAAGAATGAACTTACGATTTTTTAAAATTCTGCAAAATTTAACTTTTTAAAAAGAGTGGGCTTAATGTTAAAACTAACTGTTCAGGGCTCTAGTTTCCTCTTGGGAGCACTTCTGCCTGTGAGCAAGTTTGAATGTCTATGTGTACAGTGTCGGTGGATGTGCTGTTGGCATCACAAAGCAAGAGTTTTAAGTAGAACCTAGCCTTAAGGTTTCATTATTTAAAGTCACTTCACTCCCATAGCACTGAAACTGTTAAGCTGTTACTGCAGTAACAAACTCAAATTAATCCTTTCTTTTAGCGTACAGGCTTTTAGAAACATATGACATCATCTTTGGCTTTATCTGGGAGTGAGGCCCTATTTTGTGTCTCACTTGTGACCAAGAAAATAAAGAGACATAATTGTTATGAGCCACATATATCATTACTTAAAAAATGATCTTTTTAATGAGTGCATTAACCCAGCTTTAGTTGGTAAAGGAGCTGAATTATAATAATTCTTCAGCCATCATGGAACATCTATGTTTACAATAAATGCAGTGGAAGATACCTCACACTTTTAACTTGTTATAAATGGACCTGAATTGAATTGTAAATCTATTTTTGTCGATAACCATTGGAATAATTGTTCTCCTCAGTGTTGTGAGTATATTTGATGAAAACATTACAAAGACGTAACTCCATTTACAGAGTTCAGCTGCTCTAAGATGATTGTATGCAACACATGCTTTGTGCCATTCTCAACTTAACCCCCGTCCATTCCGCCCACTTATTTTTCTTTTACAAAATAATCTCCAAAGAAGTTTGTAAGGCCCCCATGATATATCAAGAGCAGTTTGGGCTTTTTGGATGGGGGAGATCAACTTTTATATTTTTGCAGCTTTCACGTTGCAGTTAGCTTTGAAATAAGATGCACCTAAATACAGCTGAAAGTTGTATCAAGCATTTGTGGGTGTGCCTACTGAACTCTGTGACTTGCTGTTCCCAGCTGGGCTATGCTATTGTGCAGATATTCACCCAATGCACTCATGAAACTGGATAAATGGATTAGTGGATCAGAGACACCGCCAGCACCTTCAAAAGAAAGGCAGCAGCTTACAAAAGGGATGACATTTGTGTACCAGGGCAGAGGGTGTGTGAATGCTCTGCTTCTGCCAAATTGACAAGACAGTGATAAACTTTTAACAGTAGCTACCTCATTCTGTTCTATTTCTCCATCCAAATGAAAGATTTCTCATTGAAGGAGAGGTGTTTGCAGCTTGTGTTGGACCTTCAGTAGCAAGGAATGATCCATTGCATATGAACAATAAGTTCACATATATGTTTCATTGTCTATCAACTAGCAACAAACCTTTAACATTTAAATGTTTATTTTTAAATGACTTTTGTTACCTAACATAAAAATAGCCACAATGCAAAAACAACCCTACATATACAAGAAAGTTGTATTTAAAAAGGAAAGTAAATCTAGGATTGGGAGAGAATAGCAGACCATATAACAATCATGCTTTACCCAATATTGAATTATAGGCAATCAAACATCCACCAAGGTTATTATGTGATCCACAGTATTTTTAGTTCATTTCACGTAAAGAAATATAATGTGACAATATTACAATATTGTGTTTCATATTTGTATAAATGCAATTAATTCAATATAGAATTTTTCACATTAAAAAACAACTTATCTATAAACAGGGAACATCAGTTTAAAATACATTGCATTTTCAAATAAATAATAAGATTGTGCTCAGTACTATTGGTTACATCTTTATTTATCTTTATTGCTATTTCAATGACTGATCTAATGGGAAAACAACTTCCTTCACTACATAAATATTCAGTAGTGTGAAAGGTCATTCTAGAGTGGCTCAGTTAAGTGCCCATAAATATTCCTGCAATATTGGCATGACTATACCAACAGCCAAACTAATATTTTAGTTTATCTCTTTTAGATTTGTATGCATCATGTCTAAGCTGCCTTTTAAAAAAGAATTATTATTGTAGCTTCCTCAAATGCTTTCAATTCTACAATTTACTTACATTTCTTTGTAAATTGTAATTATTGTCTGCTTGTTGGTCGAGTTCGCTAAATATTCATTGTATATATTCCCTTGCTCATAAATGCATGCATTTGATTATATTTCAAGTTCCTAATTGTTGTACCTCAATGACATTTTTTTTAAAGCATCAGCTATATATCTTGTGTATTGGCTATTTTGTAATAACTGTAACATTTTTTCACAAATTAAAAGATTGTGCAATATTCCTAATTTCTGTTGATCAGTTAAAATGAATACATCATCATTTGTGGAAATTCTTTCACAGGTAAAATCGTTTGCATAACCGATGCCATTAAAGGCCCACATAAAAACTGCAAGTGCCCAAGGTTTCTGGAACAGAGTGTCCAGGTAATTCTGGATCTAGTAATAAGATGACAGGCTCTTTTGCCTTCAAGCATTTTCAACTGGGAGATTTTTCACTTTCTGATAATGCCCTTTTATCAACATTAAAACACTTATCTTTTAACCACACACATTTTTTCCATTGTTTCTGTGTGGTCCTGCCCTCACTTATTCCCTTTCAACTTAATCCATTTTTTATGTATGTGCACTGCCTTTTATTTGACAGTGTAAGTTATTATTATTCGCTACTTTTCCACCACTGAGCCAATGCTGTCGAATGTGTGTGCAAGACAGAAAGAAAGAGGAGTCACACATACGCGTACACCCAAACCTGTTACTGGGGTTATTCGGTTAAGACATTAATATCATTTATGCATAAAAGAGTTACCCTACTTCTAATTATTGTTAATATTAATAATTTAAAGCATTAAATAGCCAGCCTCCCCGAGGCAAGATACAGCTATTATGCGTGTATATTATCTTTGTTTCCACATTTAGGGTGATGCAATTGATAATGACTCACTGTGCGTTTGTTAGGATTATTAATAATGATGTATGTGTATGTGTTTATTGCAGCGTCATGGAATGACTAATATAGTGTTGCATTAATGGTTGTTATCTAATCTTTGCCATTCCCCCACATGCTTGCGGGCAGCATTAGAATGCCTCTGCAAGGGATAGAATAATGAGGGATTCAACCGTGATTATTGCTCATTAGACACTTCACTGTACGTTTATTACTAAATGAATAATTGTATCCATATAAAAACCTCAGTGTTTTAGCTTACGGCCAAAAACAAGTCAGTAAACTCACGCTGGCTTGCAACAATGCAAATAAATGTGACACCAGGAGGTTATTTTATACCACACTGTCTCGCAAGAGATTTCCTTTTTTTTATTATAAAAAAAATAAAAACCGAAAGGCGAAAAAGAAACAAATTTGATTTTGTCCGAGTGTATTGGTTTCAGTGAACGACTCTTAATGGCTCTGGCTATAATATTGAACTAATCGGGCTGTTTTATTAATAATCATTCATCAGTTGTTTAAGTAAGAGGCTGTTTGACATTTCAATGTTGGGCATGACTGCAGGGACTTCTTTCGAGTCATTTAACAGGACGATTGGAACTTTATAGCGTATGATTCATAGAGTCTTATAGTACACAGGAGCCGCCGTGCATGTTACATTAATCAGTGTCAGGGCAGTAAAACACAGATATGAATATGAATTCGCCACTTTCGGCACCAGATAAATGTGCTTTGTGAATAATTGATCACTGCTTAAAAAAGGAGGGGGGGGGGGAAAGATGAGACACGCAGGAGTCTAAAACCCTTTACTCAGGGAAAAAAAAAAGCTCACTCACTGTGACCCTGCTTTGCATCTCTTTCCTCTCCAGTGTTTAGCAAGAAAACAAACTGCCGGCTTCGCTCGCTTTCCGGGATAGTCGCACAGATCTCCCTTTTTTTTTTGAAAAATAAAGCAAAGATTTGAAAGTTATGAGAAAGTTGCATTGTTGCAATAACGCGATTTAGCACTAAGTTTGCTTTCAACGCAATTGCAAAGGACAAGTTTCGAAATGGTGCGTGCATATATGTTATTGTCCTTGTTCTATTATGGTGCACATGGGTCCGAGCTCCCTTTAAGTGAGTAGCCTCCAGCCTCTTTACTTGACAGGGCAGCCGAATTCCTCTGCACTAGTCGAAACACATTTTTCTCACATGACGCGCCAATATTTCCCTAACATTTTAACCACTATAAAGTGGCAAACAACCATTTACTGCGGAGCTCAGTGAGTGGACTCATGAAATAGTAGCGTTGAGCAATACCGCGCTGTAGCTGCCTTACCTCTTCACAAAAGCTTGGTTAAATTATGAGCTCCCAAATAGTTGCCCGGTGAATATCTGCAAGACACAAAACTGTGCAAAAAAAACAACAACAATTTACTGGCTTCCGATTACTTTGTACAACGATAAGAAAAGTCCGTAGCACCATTTTTGCAGCAACCTACGCAATTTGGATGAATCCTGTCGCATTGAAAATATTGTCGGATTGAACCTTGCATGTGTGTTTTTTTTTGGTGAGAGAGTAAAGTTATTAATGGATAGCGATCTCAACGTCTAAATGCTGAGTGAAGCCCTGTGAGACGAGGTGACCCATCAGCCAGCAATACAGGAGGCTGCGAGCTGCACACACCGACTTCTCCATTTCTAACCAACTCACTCACTCACTCATCTCACAAATTCCTTCACACGCATCCTTTTACTTTCTGATTTATTCATACTAAAGTCAGCGGTAATATTTTATTCACAAACTCCATTAGAGGGGGGGCGGGGGGGGGGGAGAGATGATGTGGAATCACTGAAGAAATCCTGACCAGAACAATAAAATCCTCTTTGGACTGGTGTTAACTATTCCAGATTTAAATGAACAATTTCCCACATGTCATAATCAATTACTGTTTTCCTCCCTTTTTTTTCACACAGTGCTAGCTTTGTTTCACCGTTGCCTGTTCTTTGCTTGGGCTTCTCCATATAATTAAAACATTCCCTAACAGAGTGGAGGAGAGCAGGACTGAACTCGCAACATTTAGCCACCTCACTTTAAACGCGTTAGTAGAAAACTGCAACAGATTTCCACGTCTAGATTTCCTAAAAATGTTCAGCTATTTTCAAAACAAAGGACGGGCTCGCATTCAAGCCACATTTTAGGTCTGATATAATGTCTGCAGTCCATCTGTAGCGAACAACTTTTCACACAATGCCTCATCCCTCTTTGCTGCGCTTTACACAAAATGCACATTCAACACTTGTCGAGGAATTGTCGCTTTTGTATCTTCACCCGCGACGCCTGCAAAATTAAGAACATAATAATAATAATAATAATAATAAGAGTTTTTTTTTGTTGTTGTTGTAAAGTGTGCACACTTGTGCTGTCTTTTGCAGCACCTGCTCGGATGGATTTATGGGAAGTAACAAGCAACGTGCAGCAACCAGCCCCGAGGTTTGCTGCCTGTCTGAGCTGTGCTCACTCACTCTCAATGGGGCTGCAACAAAGTGCAGCAAAATGACAGGACCAGAGGATTACAGAGCTGGAAAAAGTAAATGGAAAGAGAGTGAGAGTGAGACCAAATAAACACGGGCATTTTTTGTTTTGTTTTCGTTCGGGACGTGAAGGTTTAAAGGCTGCTCTCATTGGCCCTGTTTAATTTCTGTGTGTTACACGAGTTCGATGGAAGATGAAAGAATTTAAGGGAATGTCAGGAAATGTGCAGGGCAGTGCGGGGAGACACGGAATAAATTCACAAAGGGTGTTCCGCAGACTTCAAACGGAACTTCCTGGCTGCTTCGTTTGAAGCGAATCAAATTCTAAATCTTGTTTTAAATATATAAGCTGTATTCCTGATTCCAGTCCAAATCAAGCTAATACAATCTCACCAGTACCCGTTTTCAAAAGCCCCGGACCAAGTCTTTCTGATCTATTCCAAATAGCTCACCGTTTTAAGAGCTTGCCATTTGCACCCTGAAGCAATTTTTTAAATGGCATTTTAATAATGTTTTTTTTTAAATAAAATGATTTGCACAGTTCCATTCTATACTTTTTTTCTGCTATAAAGTCTACATTTTGCAGGTATTGCTCCTTATAGTTTTTAACATTGCGTGTTTTGATTTATCTGAAGGGCACTCATCCAAAAATGAAACCCGTCTTCTTATTAGAAAATAAGACGACTCGTACACATTTAAACACGTCCGCACTTTGAACCAAAATATAAATCATTCGAGAATCGTGATTTGAGCAAAGGTGGGGTGGGGGGGGGGGGGGGGGGGGGGGGGGTGGGTGGGGGATATGATGGCGAAGTAAAGGAAAAAAACACAATTATGTTAAATTGCACAGATTAAGTGAAAGAAAAAAAAACATGTTGCGTCAAAGGGAGAGAGCCTGGTTCGCAAAAAGGTAGACAGTCATGATGAAATTGTTTTGGAAGACAGTAAACGATGTGGATGCAGACGGGAGGGTGTTTCGATAAAGTGACTTATATTGTTGTGGGCGTGAGATGAGCCTGTGGCTTTCAGTTCTTTTTCAGGCTGGGGTGAATGTGTGAAAACAAGCCTGTGAAGCCGCTGCGGATAGGAGCTCTCTTGCACAGCATGAAGTCTGTATTGCCCTGACTTGTGAGTGAGTGAGTGAGTGAGTGAGTGAGTGAGTGTGTGTGTGTGTCTGTGTGAATGCACTCTCCTTGGCTCTGACCATAGGCGGGAACCACAATAAAACTGTGGCTCTCGGATACTGCATTTCGTGTTGAATAATGTGTAAAATAACAACAAAACTTGGAAGTGTTAGAATATTCTATGTTGTATATTTCTATAATTCAAAGGTATCCATTTCCTTATTTCTTGTCCAGAAGTAAGGAAATGGATACCTTTGACTTATAGTTTAAGTGTAACTAAACGACCCCCACCCCCACCTCTATAATTCCATGCAAATGTACGAGGATAATACTCAGAATATTATCAAGTGTGTAAGTGAACCTTTTGACCGTGTCCTCCAAGTCTCGCGAAGTGTGTAACTCGGAATGCACTACGTCGGGTTATGTCTGAAGACAGTGAGGTGTAGGTTTACGAGTCCTCTCTCTGTCTCTCTTCCCCCAAGCGCTGTGGGACGGAGTCAGTCAGTGAAGCAGCAGTGTGTGTGTGTGTGTGTGTGTGTGTGTCTGTCTGTCTGCAGAAAGTTCCCTTCAGCTCCAGTGGCGTCCATAGAGGGAGCTGCAGCCTTACAGTTTGCTCTCTCTCTCTCTCTCTCAGTGTGTGTGTGTCTCTCTCAGCCAATTCAGCAGTACACATGCACCCCGCACGCCACGTCTAAATTAACAACCCCCTCTCCAGAAAGGACACTTTCCTTTCAACGTGGAGTCAAACTTCGTTTGAGCCAACAACTGCGGGAGTGGCCCTCCGAAAATCTCAGACTGAACAAAATACTTTCGTGCAACGTGTGCGTTTTTTTTTTTCGCTTTTCCCCCCCCCCCCCCCTTAAAAAAAATCCAAGAAACCACCCAAGCACGGTTCTTACCAGCTGAGCATCAAGCGATACATACGGTTGATATTATTGTCATTCCACTTACAAATGAAAATAATGTCAGGATCCGTTCTGACTGGATGTCAGAGGTCATTTTAAAGAGTTACCATTTTAAACGTACTCCAGAAACGTATTTAACGTCTCACGTCTTTAATATCTGACATATGTAACATATTTACTTTGATTCCATTTTTTTTTGAAGATCCGAACAACATCACTTAAATACATTTATAACCACTTCAGCTCCAGTTAAATGACCAAAGACTTTACTCCGGTTTAAAACACATGTCGTCGATTGTTTTAATTAAATAATCTGTCACAGTCCGACAGACATTCTGTTAAATACTATATTTAAAAACGCGTCGTATAAAGACATCAGAATCAAATATAATCTGTTTTTTCCCGTATACAAATGGCAAACGGTGTTTTCTGCATATAGTGCCTTAATACTACTAATAATGTAACCGTATCTTTCTAAAGGAAACACCCATCTTGTGCTTTCGGCAGCAGGAAAGTGTTATTCCCAGTGATCTGAGATCAGCCAAACTCTCAATCAATACGTGGTGCCTGATGCTTTGTTAATATTTTATTTCACAGTTGCTATTACTTCCGATCCGTGATGAGCTTTTTTTTTCTGTTTGGACACAGCCTTCCATATTATTTTTTAATTGCTTTAGCAGCTGCTTGCTTCATAGAGCGCCCCTTCTCCACCAGGAGAAACCATCTGTCGAGTAAGTAGCACCTTAAAGGTCACTGATTGGTTTCATAGGGGAACAGGAGAATAAACACTGGGACATTTACATTGCGGAAATCTCACAAAAGTAGCTCGCAACTATATTTGCCTTCTCTTCTCCCCCCACCCCTTTCTCTGTCCATAACTAGAGTTTTAAATAAAATAACAGCTTACAGCAGCAATAGAACGGATTATAAAAATACACTCAGGCAGAGTTTTTCTCCCCCCCCCCCTCTTTTTTTTCCCCCCCTAAAGAATAACGTTCTTTTTTAAAAAAAAACCTGTAAAATGCGACTTTTTTTTTGGAAAAATTAATAAAACGTCATGTCAGGTTACGTGGAGATTGGATTTCTTTTCTAATTTCTTTTAGTTTATTAGACAAAAATATATGAATTTTAACAAGTTCTGCTCACGCGCTTATTTACAATTATAATCACTGTATATACATAGAAACACAGGACGTGGGAAAATAATCACCAAAACGGATAATAATCGCGCCAGGGAAAAAAAAATCAATTAGAATAACACGTGCTGATATGTTACAATGTCAAATAAATCGTTACATAATTGTCAAGTTTTTGAAAGGATCTTGCATTGCCCGACACTGACGACAGAAGACCAGAGTGAATTCGCTCTTCTGCTTTTCTTCAATTTCTTCCCTTATTTCGTTTTTTTTTCTCTCTCCTTCTCTCTTTCTCCTTTGATCCGCCCCCCAAAAAAACTTCCTCAGATGGAGGGAATGGCCGCTAAAACTCTGGTTCCGTCTTGCTGGGGCCGTGAGCTAAACACACAGACACACACACACACACACACACACACCGCACACACATAAACATTTCAGTGTTCAGTCACATGAAGACATTGAGCAAACACATTGATATGGCAGACAGTCTGCACTATATAAGACCATTCAGAGCTAGTAAAAACTAGATCATATTGTCAAATGCATAAGTGTCAACAAATAACCCTGGCCAACTAATTAACCTTTACACTAATGAAATGTGTGCTAGCCACGTTTTTTTTAAAAAAGCGAGTTTATATACATCCTTGCGAGAATTATTTTCTTGTTTCCTTTTTTTTAAAAATGAACCTGACAAGAAGAAGAAGAAGAAGAAGAAGAAGATGAAAAAAAAACTCACCTTTCTTTTACGGGCTGAAATGATATGTTTAGCTGCTGTGATGGTGATTCACCAGGAAGATTTTCTCTCTCTGCAAAAATAAAATGACGTGCTTGAACAGACTCACTTTTTTTAATCTCTGGGAAGAAAAAAATCACCTTTTTGTTTTAAAGTAAAAATGCGTATTTAGAAATACGCTTATTCGTATTTTAAAGTTAAGTTAGTTACATTTGCTGGATCCGACAGAAGTATCCCAAGCGAGGGGGAGGCGAATATATCAACCACAACAACAACTTGGATTTATATAACGCCCTCCACGCCGGATGGCGTCTCAGAGCGCTTAATAATAGCAACGCAAAACTCACTGGAGGGTTGTGAGTGTAAAATACCTGTGTGTTTTGGGCTGTGGATCTCTGTTGGTTTTTCACTGCTGACTGTCCCCAGGGCTGCTGTTAGCACAGAGGGGTGTTGCTGCTGGGGCTGGGGATGTTGCGAATGATGGTGATGATTTACGCCCAGAAAAGACCTCACGTTTAGCAAAGAGTTCTGCCCCAGGAAAGCGCCGTTTGTCCAGTTGTGGAACTTGCTAATCTGACAGGTATACAGTCCGTGGTTGGAGAGGAAAGCTGGGTGCTGGATGGTGGAGGGCGTGTGGCTGGTCTGTGAAGGTTTCTGAGCACTGTCAGGGCTGGTCGCAGTCTCTGCCAAGGACCAGATTTTGGGTTTGCTATGATTTGGGATTAGCACATTCCCCTGCCCTAGAGATACCCCCCTGGTGTTATTGCTTTCAGCAGCACTGCCATCCACTCGGTCCGTCTCTGCTTTATTACCATCAGATCCCGGATCAAGCCCGCTCTCCAAATCCGCTTTCCCCCCTTCACAATTGGGGTTCAGCTTTTCTTCCTCTTCCCCGTTGCTTTGCTCCTCGTCGTTCTCGTCGATTTTATCGATGTCGATGCTTTCCAAGTCGATCTCCTCATCCTCCTCCTTTTTCTCGCTCTCTCCCTCCGTGTCGCTCCCGAACAGGTTGCCGTCCTCCTCTTTACTCCGGTTGCCCCAGGTCATCTTGTTCTCCTTCTTGAGTCTTCTCCTGGCGTTGGCGAACCAGGTGGAGACCTGGGTCAGGGTCATCTTGGTGATGATGGCCAGCATGATCTTCTCCCCTTTGGTGGGGTAAGGGTTCTTCCTGTGCTCGTTTAGCCAGGCTTTCAGGGTGCTGGTGCTCTCCCGAGTGGCGTTCTTGGGTCGGGCTGGGTCTCCGTATTGAAACTGTCCATAAGGGTAATAGGCAGGAGCTGTGTGCGCTGTGAATGCAGCTGCGTGAACTCCAGGATTATCCTTCAATTCGTACTGCGACCCCTGCAAAAGGGACACACAGAGAGACAGAAAGAGAGAGAGAGAGAGAGAGAGAGAGAGAGAGAGAGAGAGAGAGAGAGAGAGAGAGAGAAAGAGAGAGGGCAAATAAAAGGGGAAAATGTTAATATAACATCACTTTCGTATCCCATTTTAGTACAACTGCACCGCGCGTTCAAAATACACTCTACAAACAGTATGTGAGGTAAGATGTCACGCACTAAAAAGTTGAGGGCAGGAAGCCCTGAAACTTTTGCATAGTTTGAGTGGAAACGAAAGGGTTAACGGCGAGGTTCATCTATAACCCCCACCTCCCCCCATCCCCCCCAAAAAAAATTAGCCCCTCTAACGCCGAAACAAAAGGAAATAAGATTAATGATACACTTATGACAAACATAATTTTAATGTCTTTAAATGGAAGCTGAACACACGTCCACACACGCACAGAGAGATAAACTCAGCTGCGGATTCACCACCAGCAGGGAGACCGCTTCCATCGGGGCACACAGGGGTCTGGCGCAAAGGCATGAAATTATAAATGTCTGAACCATTCAGAATTAGTTCACAGAGAACCGCTGATTCTTGGACTCGGGTCCCCCACGTTATTGTTACAGCATGGTCTGGATATTTCAAAGTAATATCATACACCTTTTTAATTGTGATTTAAATGTTTGTAGTGGAAACAACAAAAGTTCCTAGAGTATCTCTGTCTTGAAATCTTTTATTCAGATCTTCGCACTAGAAAGGCAATAAAGGGAAACAAAAGAAAGTTGAGACGTCCTTTTATAGGCCATTTATAATTCATAAGTCCCACGGCTCCTGTGCACAGTTTTTAAAAATCTCATTCGTGCAAATTACTTTTTTTTAAATATTACACTACATATTTAGGGTGAGAAAAAGTGTACAACTGGAAATATACAGATGCAATTCTCCAGTAGTCTATTTCTATAGAAAGATACAACCTAAAATAAACCTTATGTGGCCACACTTTGAACAGTCCACCTCTTTTCTACGCCTGTAATGTTAAAATGCAGGTTGAAAGTTGTGTTCCAGGCACTTTTTTTGCTTCTTGGAAAGCTATTTCGCGTCGAATTAAAAGTTGGAAACATTACATCATCTAATTCCCGCTCACATAGTCCCGCAATGTAAACACTAAAACAGAATGTGTCTCCTTCCTGGAGGGTTTATTCTAAAATCGAAACACGTTTGGTAATCTACAGTGGAGTCAGCATCGCAAATGCAATAAATTTTAATCTTTTTGGCATTCCGTTCAATTAAGCTTCAAGTCTCCAAACCCTTTGCTCCCTCTAAAAAAAACATCAGAGCCCTAGAAAGAGTGCGACCACAGTCCTAAATAGGCCAACTTTATTTATCCACTAGATATTCGTTTGAATTTCCGTTTATATCTTCATATTATTTGTATGAAACGTGTTATAAGTCTGTGTATGTGCACAAAAGCCTTTATCGAAAGCAATTATGGACAATCTAAGCGCTTTTAGAAGCCGGCATTAATTTATATTCAATGAAGGTGCACGTTATCTGCTGTTAGGAGAGTGAATGAGCCGCTGGATCATTATCAAGAAAACAGGAAATCTTTCTAACTAACCACAGGATCAGTGACTATCATTCAATATTTTTTATAGATAACTGTCGAGTGTGATCTCGAAATTCGCCCTCTATTTATCCTGTCTCGATCTGAGATTATTGCATTTCCACAGCTGCAAATCTATTCAAAATCCTCCTTTCCCAGAGGCATTTCCATGACCAAGATCACCGAATTGTTTGCCAGTTGTACTTGTCTGCAGGAGAGTGCGACCCAAATCCTTGCCGCCCTAAAGCGAATGCATTGCATTCGTGTGTGTGGTGAAGGATTCAGAATGAAGCAACTGTTCCACGTAAACTTTCGAGGTAATAAAAAATCGATAGCGATTCGATAAAGCTGCAAAACTTTTTGGATTTGCTTCCATTGAGATTTAAATGCCAGTGGGAGCACACGTAATAAAACTAAAGCGAGCCCTTTTTTTTTTGGGGGGGGGGGGGGGGGGGGGGTGGGAAATATCGCGTTGCAAAGCACACAGCACAAACCCCCCCAACTTGTGCGAGGTGGTTTCTTGTCAGTCTGACAGGTTAAAACAAAGCCCCGCATCTAATTGCGGATTGTAAAACTCCAGAGATGAGCCGCAGCTCACACGACAACTTTTGAGTTACTTTATCTGAAAACGGCTGGAGAAACGCAGTGCATATAACACACGGACAAACTAAAGGGGAGGGGGTGGGGTGGGGTGGGGAGGGGGGGTGGGGTTGGGGGCTGAGGCTCTGTGGCAGTCGATGCATAATAAGCCGCAGAGCTAACTGCGAACGGCATATGTATATACATAAATGAATCCCGAATAAAATAAAATAAATCCTCCCCCACCCCCCACCCCCCAAAAAAAATAAACTAGTGTCTGACATGTTGCTGTGAGGTTGGAAAGATGGCTGAACCAGAGCGCAGTGTCAAACTTTGCGAAGCTGCTTTTTAATTGTGTCCTCGCACAACGTTGGTACTCGGATTCACAGGGCGGCTGCAGATAATGCTTATTAAACTTTTCACATCTTATTGCATGTCATCCATTGCAGAGAGGGAGAGAAGGAGGGAGGGAGGGGGGGAGGGAGGGAGAGGTGGGGAGAGGGGAACAGAAGGGACGCTGATAAAATCCTGTCTGTGAACGATGCGGCCGGGGATCAAAACACCAGCGACCGCGCGGCGCTTCGGTGAAGTGTTAATTATTACGGGTTGGGTTTTTTTTCCCCCAAAAAAATACAATAAAAATCTAACTTTTACCGTCTTGTGGGCGTTGCATGTTTGTGAGGATCCGCCGAAAATACATGATGGTTTTTTTTTAAAAAAATCAAACTTTAGCTGCGAGTAAGGAGTGTTCTTGTAATATTTAACCGCACGCATATATAAATATATATTATATATATATACACACTGCATATTTATGTTGATGTGCACCTTCTCGTAAGGATGGTCCATGCAAGTGTTGTAAAAGAATGATCGCACTTACCATTTGGGAGAACATGGTGAGGTCGGTGGTGTAGGGGAGGAAAGCGCTGTAGTTCTGGGCTGTGTAAGGGTTTGCATACATTCCCAACACCGAGGTTACAGCGGCAGCGGCGGGGTTAGCCCCGAGCTCGGCTCCTCGGGAAGACGCGAGCACTGCCTGCCGATCGGCAGCATACACAGCCTGGCTAGCGTTCAGATACTGAGGGTACCCCAGCTGAGGGAAGGCCATCTCCTCAAACGGATCTCCCTTCACCAAACTCAAAAGCACAGAGAAGGCAAAGTGACAGGATACAAAACTCGCTTCCGATCGCTTCCAAATCTCGCCTCTTTTTGTCCTGCCTGCAGAATCTCCCTGTAAGCGATCTGATCGCCAATTCAACTCCAACTGATGTGTCTGCCCATAGGTCCTGGCAGATCCGTAGATATCATTTGAAGTTGATGCTTTGACTGACAGGTCACTTTAGCGGCAAGCCCCTCCTAGTTTAGAGCATGTGGTTTCGCACGGTTGGGCCACTTTGTGTTGTGGTGTGTTAAATGTTTTGCATTCGGATCTATTCAGTGAAGCACCCACTGGTGTATGACAACCTGTCTACATGATTTTACAGCTGTCCAACATTGTTTTTTTTTTTCCCCCCCTTCTTAAACCTTTCTGTGTCCCTTTTTGTACAACCTCTGGGGTTTTTTTTTCCTACCCCCCCCAATAAAACAAGTGGTAGTAACGCGCACCAGTCAAGGACTGTATGCAGGCATGCGTGCGTGTGTGTAATCAGCACCAATAGACAGATCCAACATCGTACAAAGCAGAAGAAATTGACTTTAAAATGCAAAACAAAAGCCCCCCCCCAAAAAAAAAACCACGATGCACTTATCAATTCATCTGAACACCAGAAAACCGATGCGTTTGAAAATAACGATTGGTCGAGTTAACCAGTCGGATGCAAGTACCAGGAAAATAATAAATACTAAACAATTAATTATTCATATTCTGTTAAACAGATCGGGCCTCCTGTAGGTCCGATTTTACCAGCAATTATGAGGATTGTATTTTATTTGTTGGGACTGTTTTGGGCATTTGTTATTTTTGCAGTCGTATTTCTTACAGACTTCTCCTGCCTTTTTGTTTCCAATATACCCTTTTAAATAAATAGTGGCAAAAAGAGTTAACAAAGTTATGTTGGGGCCACGCGTTCCGGGATACTTTCCATTCGCCCGTTTCCCCCTATCAATGTGTATCTGCCATTTTTCAGGGCTGCTGAGGAAAACGAGCTTTTTTTTTCTTTTTTGTGGGGGGGGAAAAAAATCACACCAGGAAACTGACAGCAAGTGCTTGCGGAATGCGAAGATGGGTGCGAATTTTGAAATAGTTGCACATTTAATTGATTTGTTTTGTTATCTGCGTTGAATGAGAGCTGGTCTCTCGGCGCTTTGTCATACAGACAGATACCAACCTCAGTGTCACTTGCTTCAAGAGAACACCGACTTTCTCAGAGTTCACCAGACTTCAATCCAAGAGATCAGAACAATTTGGGTACAGTTTGTATGTGTTCAGTGTCATTAAAAAAAATCCCTTTCCCTGAAAATTGAAGGGTAACCACTTCATAAGATATTGTTCTCTCGTTTAAAAAAAACCAAGCGATATCATCCATTTGATATGTAACATGCCGACCTGTACGTACCGATGTGTAATGTTATATTTGCGGAAAATGACAAATTCGCATTGCAATGTGAATTACTGTAATTACTGTGTAAATATTGTTACTGTGCCTAAGAATATTTCATATTTAGATTTTGAAAATAGCTCCGTTGTATTTTATCAGCATTCTGATGTTTCCGGGTGATGGATGCAAGTGATCGAAGCGGGGCATCGCCTCCTGCTTCACTGCGCTGCACATTGATCCGGCGTTTGGTGGCTCCAGATTGGATTTCTTGTCGGGTTCAGATGCGTCCCTCGCAGTTTTGGCTCTCATCACAGCTCCAGACCTGACGCCCATACGTAACGTCTCGCCAACATCTCTACAGAGCTGGATGCCCGCGTATTTTCTAAGTTCCAGACTGCAAAAACCTATCCACCAAACACATATGCATACTGTACACACACACACACACACAAACTGTTCAAAAGCTAAACACCCCCCCTCTCTCTCGCTCTGTGTAGTGTAATAGTACTTTAACCCCCATTGATCAGAATGAATCACCTTACAGTTCTCCCCATATGGAAAAAGAGTTTACGACATTGATGTTAATTGCAAAATTTGTGAGGAAATTTAATTTGTGTGCAATGCAAATTACTTTGTTTTTTTATGTCGGGAAATTTTGTTTTCTATTTTTAACTGGGGTTTGGCAGCCTATATCTGAACGGTCTTATTAGTTCAAATGAATGATAGCAGAAGGGATTGGAAGTTTTTTTTTAAAAAAGAGACTTGATCTCCGTTGGCAATCTGCCAGAGGTGTATTTATGTGGGAATAAAAATTAAAGCGTAGCATAGCAGCAACATTTTATGAATTTCTATTGAAGAATTGCAACGAGCTGGAAGCCAATAAGGCCATATCAAATAAAATAGCGTCTGCTTCTTTGAGGTGGATGAATGTGTGTGTTGCTAATTTGTAAAAGTTTGCAAAATTGTAAGTTCAGCTGGCAGTGCAAAGAGATTTTTTTTAAAAATCTTTGAAAATTTTAATCTAGATATGATATAGATGGGTATTATTTCGCTACCACCATAAGCATTGCACCAACGGTCTCTTAAAAAAGTTCAAGATGTTTAATAGTTTTAGCCAAATATAATGACAGTCCTATACGGAGAACAACGCCACCTTTACTTAACAGGTTATATAAAGTATACGGCGGTATCATCACATCATTAATTGAAAAGATAAATTGGATTGAAGCAATTATGAGTCGTTCAAATAACTGAAGGCGTTAATAGAGAGAGGGGGAGAGAGAGAGAGAGAGAGATAGCAAGACTGAGGAAATCTGCTTAAATGATGTGCGGCTGGAGAGGGCAGTGATGGTAATCAGCGGAACACATCAGTAGCTGTGGGGACTGAGCTGATAACTTGTTGGGAATGATTCTTTGGGGCTGGAGATGACAATGATAAACCGTTCAGGTCTCGGAGGCTGCGATGACAGTGATGGGGACTGGAAAGACCTCAAGCTGCGGATAGCAGAACAACATCCTGGGCAGGACGATGGCTGGGGAAAGGTAACTATGACAACTTGTTTAACACTGTTCACGTTGGAGAGCACAATACTACAAAAAAAACTGGTTTGTATTCAAATTAGTGTAGATGGTAATGACCACGAGGAAAGCCAAGGACGGATTTCATGATGGCGCATTAAAGAGCCTTTCATCTGGCACTAAATTAAATATTTCTAAGCAATGGATGGCGCACAGTGTGGGCCAGTGGTGACACGGACCTATTTAGTGTCAGGATAATGCGGGTTATTTCACGGCCAGTAATACTGAATTCAATAGGTAACGCACTGTGTGTGGTGCTGCGGATCGCCCGAGATAAGAAAAAGGTTGGTGTCGGATGCGGCGCTGGAATGAGGTCGACGCCGGTAAGTTTGCGACGGTGCTGCGAATACTGCGTAATCGGGATCTCAAACGGTAAACGGGGGCAGAGGTGGCGTTGGAGCCACAACATGTGGCCGCCGTGAGGACGCGCCGACTCTGCGTTTGGGCGTGAGATGGTCGTGCGAGTCCTGTCTGGTAACAGCGCTGCTCTTCGGTGCAACCAGGTGACTTCGTGGGCGACCGGCACCCCAGTGGCCAGACGCCAGTCCCTTCTTGCCACGTGTGCTATCCGTGAACGCTTGTCGCCGTCTCCGGCCTCAAAAGCCCTGATTTATGACCCTTGTTAAACACTCATTATTGTTTCACACCTTTGCAGGAGTCGGTGGAGAACAGAAGCGGTGTGTGTGTGTGTGACAGCTCACAACAAACATTTACAAAGGGCGAGCGCTCAATCTCTTCGGACTTGAATGCACTTTTTTTTTATACACACACACACACACACACAGACACACACAGCAAATGCCTCTGAAACGAACTTCCCTCGAAATTGTTTCCCCTCTCCCAAGACTTTGCTGCCACTCTCCCCAATGACGGTGCCCTCGCTCTCTGTTGATTTCGGATTCATGTCTGGTGTTCGATGCCAATGATTGCAGAGTGCTGGGCTGGTGGGGGGGACTCGGCATTGGTTACACTCTGTCCAGTTAGTTGAGATCTCAAGTTTGCTTTAAGATCTCGGGGTAGTTTGCACTGTCGTGCCAGAAAGCGCAGAACACGGGAACGTTAACCAGTCTGTATTAAATGGAAGAACTTGTATTTATCCAGGTGACGATAAGTACTGTGCAGCAGGGCATCGCTTTAAAGTACTTGTGCAAATCTCTCTGCGTTCGCCTCTGGCGCAATAAGGAAAGTTGAGCTCGGTTCGGGCGTTTTTTTTTTGTTGGCAAAAAAAGTTAGCACATGCGTTTGAAATTATACGTTTCGATAGACCTTTGGAAGAAAAGTCCCAACGATTTCAGTAACAATTAAGGATTTGTAGTTATTTGCAAACTCTAAGCGCCCCTCCTCAGCCAATCTTGCGGCACCAAAGTGGAGCATGGAGTTATTTAATTACCAACAGTCATGTGAGCTTGCTTTTCCTCTTCAGGTTTGTAATTCAGCGTCACTGTAATTTGGCTTGGGGGGCGTCGGCACAATTGTTTTTTTTTGCCAGCTGCAGTTTCTACTTGTATTTATTCTTTCATTGTCTTGGAGGGTCCAGCCCATGATTTTTTTTTTGAAAAAAAATTAGTTTGCGCTTGGTAACACGTGCAATCAATTCAGTCTGAAAGAGGTGCATTGTAAATTCCTACACTACAGGTGTACTTGCTATGTATCTGATTGCTTTGGAGCACTCTGCACTCAGTTCTCACAAATGAAACCAGTGAATGCAATTCAGACAGACTGTCAACTCCAAACAGCCAGGAGGTTGGAGATCAAAGACCTGAGTGGGAGTCTATACTCTTCAGATTACCTTTTACGCTTTTTTCTCCTAATTCTATTATAAGACTTCTAACAAGTTGCACATTCTAATGCACACACAGTCCCAATCCCCCCACACCCCCTTGTCCGTCAAAATTGGTAATCGGAAACCTTCATCTAGATTTTTTTTCCAAAAAAATGAACCGAATTTAACGTGAAAATGCGACTCTTCTCTGCTTAGCACATCCAATTTCATCAGGTTTCCCCAAGTATTTAGAGAATTCAATACAGTGCCTTTAAGTTAAATGGGAGCAAACAGTAAACACCAAACGCTTTGTTTAATGACGACTTTATTGGGTCCATTCAATTCTCAAAATGATTACAGATTACTCAATCTGCTGGCTGTTTTAATTGGCAAT